TTGGGCTGGGCTGGCCCAAGCCTTGAGATTTATGGCCACCTGCCCTGTCTTCTGCCCCCGCCCACCTGTCCCCCAGGTGGACATTCCAAGCCTTGCCATTGGCTCTCCACCTGGTTCCACACAATTGGGGCAAAGGATCCTGTTGCCCAGGACAACAGAAGCTCAGCACTGAAGGCTTTCCTCTGCAGATGAAGGGCCTTTTTCATTTGCAAAAAAGCCTTTCTGGCTACAAGATAACTTCCCTTTTGGAGGTGGTGAGATTTCTGGCCCCCCCACCATGGTCCTGGGTGCAGGTTGATGCACAAGAGATGATGACTCGTAGTTGTCTCTGGTGACCCCTAAACATGTCCCTCCATCTTTGGGGAGCAGTGGTGAGGGTGCCTGCTGCATACACCCCCCAGCCTCCAGCCCCTGGGGCTCCGCACACGGTTGTTTTTGCCCATGGGGACTCAATGTCCTGACCTGCAGATTGTAGAATGACATTGTGACAAAGCCATGAAGACAGTGTGTGTAAACTCGGGCTGTTTTCACAACCTCTCTGTGCCAAAGTACCAGGAATGGAGGGACACAGGGACCTTCTCTACCTTCTCTGATTTGCAATTTGCTAGTGATGCACAGCTAGAGTCTGTGCCTCATGACTGCTCATCTTCCCCACAGGTTCCCCCCCCCGCCCCACCCTCCCCCCACCCCCCACCCCCCGCCCCATGACAGTCTCTCAACAACTGAGCAGGAGGAAGGGTCATGTGGATGCAGGCGGACCCAAAAGACAGTGACTTCCAAGACCTGGGCGGGGGCCACACGACACAGCCCCTCTGCTCCCACCCCCAGTCTGTCTGAGCTGCCCCGACAGAGCTGATCTCAGCTTGCAGCCTGGTGAACACTAGCCCTGGGCCTGATCCCTGCACACCACAGCCAGGTTCTTCACGTGAAAGCCAGTCATAGCTGGGTGCCTGCCATAAGCTTAGCTACTCACTTCAATGGGCAGAATAGGGGCTGGGAAGATGGCTCAGTGGTAGAGCGCTTGCCTTGCATGCATGAGGCCCTGGGTTCAATTCCTCAGCACCACAGAAGCAGAAAAAATAAAAAGCTGGAAGTGGTGCTGTGGCTCAAGTGGTAGAGCGCTAGCCTTGAGCTGAAGAGCTGAAGGACAGCGCCCAGGCCCAGAGTTCAGGCCCACGACAGGACCCCCCCACCCCCAAAAAATGGGCAGAATAGCAGCAGGAAAATCTTCTCCAGTCTGGCTCAGTACAATTCAGCGTGGTTGAATCTAGTCTAGGGGAGTAGAGGAGGGAGGATGGATATTTTTTTTCACAGCTAATCATTATCAAGTTCATTTTTAAAGATCTTTCAAACTCTTAAGAACTAGGAAATGAGTCAGGTGCCAGTGGTTCATGCCTGTCATCTAGCTACTCAAGGGGCCGAGATCTGAGGATCAAGGTTCAAAGCCAGCCTGGTCAGGAAAGTTCCTGACCAGGAACTTTCTTATCTCCAATAAACCACCAGAAAACCAGAAGTGGCACTGTGGCTCAAGTGGTAGAGTGCTTGCTGAAGAGCTAAGGGACAGGGCCCAGAGTTCAAGCCCCATGACTGACAAAAAAGAAAAAAAGAAAGTGCCAGACACTAGTGGCTCACACCTGTAATCCTAGCTACTCAGGAGGCTGAGATCTGAGGATTGAGATTCAAAGCCAGCCTGGGTAGGAAAGTCCATGAGACTCTGATCTCCAATTAACCACCAGAAAACCAGAAGTGGTGCTGTGGCTCAAGTAATAGAGCAGGTGCCTTGAGCAGAGAGAGCTCAGTGCCCAGGGCCAGAGTTCAAACCCCGTAACCAAAAGCCAAACAAAAACAACAAAAAAATGGTGAATGAATTCTCTGCTCTTCTAGTCTTCATGGGTAGACACCCAGGCACCTGTTCCAGGGGACTTCCCTTCCCTAGCTAGAAGGGGTCAATCCCCCTAAGTTAGGGCCATTTGTCAGGCTGGGGAGTTGTATAGGTTTTGGTGTTGGCTGCATCTGATTCTGAGAAGTCTCTGTCCCTGGTTTTTTTTCTCTGTTTCTGACCACCCTGGATGAAGGTGAGGGTGAAGGACACCATGCTGGCTTGGTCAGCACCTACCACGTAGACAGTGCTTTATCTCCCCCCCCACAGGCCTGGACCAAGCCCAGGTTCCCGGGGCAGCGATAAACGCTCGCCATGAGGGGACCCCCCCTCCCACCCCAGAATTCACCTCTAGGGGCCTTTCTGCTGATCAGTTTGGGGCCGTGGCCTCCGCCTCTTCCCCAAAGTGTTTGCTTCATGTCTCCAACCTTATTACCAGGGTGGCAGCACTGCCATCCTTGCCCATGGGGTCTGGCTCTGTGCCAGGCAGTTAGGGTCTTGGGGGGCAGCAGCTGAGATGAACACCTTCAGAATTAATGTCTTCCTTACACACAGTGGCCTAATCATTATCTGCTGGCACAGGAGATGGTGAAGGCTCCCAGGATTTCCAAGAATGACATTCTAGAAATCAGTTTGCAAAGGGCCCCTTGGGGACCCCTAAGCTGTGTCTGCAGTTCCTTCATGTGGTTAGCAAACTGTCCGCCAGGGCCATCTCTGTGGCCTTGGCTTGGCCACCCTGCCAATCTTGGTCTGGGTTGGGAGTGAGCTATATCCTCACTGAATGGGAGAAGAGTGCTCTCTCACAGACCAAGGGATGGGATGTGGGCCACAGGCCACGGGGGTGAAGGCAAGGGCATGAAGGGGAAGCGGCAGCCACCTGCGCCCCTGCCCTGATTGGCCATCTCCAAGAAGAGACCCCAGAGCACCCCGCATACTCTGGGCTTTGGAAACCACCCTCATGGAGGTGCGGGGAGGTGGGGGCCATGGTTTTAATGTGGCCTCCAGATTTTCGATTATTTTTTGGCAATGCTGGGATTTGAACTCAGAGCATTGCCGCTGGCACTCTTACCACTTGAGCCTTAATCCCCTTCCTGTTTTTTCTTTTTTTGTTTTTTGGTCTGGTTGTGGGGCCTGAACTCTGGGCCTGAGCGCTGTCCCTCAGCTCTTCAGATCAAGGCTAGCGCTCTACCACTTGAGCCACAGCGCCGCTTCCAGCTTTTTTCTTTTTGCTTATGTGGTGCTGAGAAATCGAACTCAGGGCCTCAGGCATGCAAGGCAAGTGCTCTACCACTGAGCCACCTTCCCAGCCCTCCACCCCGCTAAGTTTTCTGATGTCACAAATCAGTTGGCCTTGTGTTTGTGTGTGGTGGGGGGGGGGGACAGGTAGGGAGGGGGCTACCTGCACAAGGCGACCCTCACTGCCGGCTGGGCACAAGCCCTTTTGGAGTTGAGACCACCAGGCCCAGTGTCCAGCGGACAGTGGGCAGGGGGGGCTCTACTCCCCTGTGGGATGTCTGCCCCCTCCCGCCCGATGAGACTTGCACAAAGCATCACACACAGCCAGCACCTTGTGGGTTGTGGGCCACCTGTCGGGTGCCAATGCCCCGCGCTAGGGACAGGGCCCAGGGGCCAGCTTCCCCCAGAGCCCCTATGCCTGGGCTCTCCAGGCGGCTCACCCTCTGCCCCTCCCCGCGACCACCCCTCGGGCCTTGATCCTGGGAAGGCCTCTGGGCTGCAGAGGTCAAAGGGCGCAGCCTCCCCGGGCCCCGCGACATCCGCGGAACTACACTACCCACAATCCCCGGCTGTCCATAAAGGAAATGTCGTTTTCACCGGGGGAGGCTCGGCTCCCCCCGCCGCGGAGCGGGGA